TCCCAGAGGCGCGCACCGGCACTTAGCCTGCCTTTCTTCTTTCGTTTCAACCTTTCTTCTCACGTCCTCAACCAATCGCTCTTCCATCACTTTCATTCTCAATTACACCCCCCTTTCTCTCTCTTTCTCGCATGCACACCTACAACGTTCGCTCGTTCCAACGTTCAATCTCAATTTAAATGGCAAGCCGAGCGTCATTTTCGCTCGCTGTCCTGGCACTTCTTTTCTCTCTTATTCTTTCCAACTTATCCCCTTTCGCTTTTAGCAAATCTCTGATATCGTTCGTTAGATCGTTATCTCTCTGTTGCCGTTTATTTTTCTCAGATTCTGTCTTTGTTCATTATCTCTTAAAATGATCGTTCTCTGAATTCATGGAAACGATACAGATACCCTTCGTTAGTCTTGAACTGCAGAAGCCGGGACAGTCGGCCACGACGAGCGAGGCTCCGGGGATCGCCGCCCGCTACGATTCTGCCAACACAACAACAACAAGGCCGCTTCACGAGTCTAATTCCTAATCAACTAATCTTGTTCGCTAGAGACTTGCGTTTTTTTTTTTTTGCTTATTCTAACAAGAAAATGGAAATCCGCGCGTTGCATCTCGTTTCCTCCGTCCAGCCCATCCTCGTTTTTTTTCTTACTCATACACACGTACTGCTCTGTACGTGTTATATTTAAAACGTTCATTTCGTATGACTAACGCTTTTCATCCTCGTCGCTTTTCCGGATATGAAACGAACTATCAACAAAGTATGACTAAAATTTTAGAAGAATCACAAGGATTCACTTTGAGCAAGATTAGATAAACGCGTTTACTCAGGTATTCAGGTGAAATAGGATAATCAGATGAGAAGACGAAGTCGTCAATGATAGAGCAAGACGTTAGTATATCTTATTAAATTATGCTAACTGGATTCGTCAAACTCGAGCATTACCTACTTCTAATTCCATTTCACATTCAATTCTATGCAAATAGATTGATACTAGCTCAGAATACAAATCCTTTCTTTAATTTCTTGTAAATGTGCTGTCGTCCTTTAATCTCGCGAATTTTCTAATTCTCCCGTCTATAATTTAACCGAAATGGTCGACTGGCAATTAGAGAGAAGTGGAAAAGGACGCGCGACTTTCTCAGCCAACGAATTTATCGACGAAACCATTTTGATATCAGAATTGGAAAAGCCGAGGAAATAAAATAAAGAATCGAGATTCACTTTTCCATATTCATCAACTCCCATCCGATTATCCGAGCTTACTCGGAATTTGTTTGCCTTTGCGCGATTCCGGAGAGGCTTACTGGCCTCGACTCGAGGAAATATATATTTCAAGTAGGAACATCGAACAGCGATTCCCCAAACGTACTCGGTACAATTAATTCTTTCTGTAAATAGCATTTGCATCCGTTGATTACGCCCCGGCATCGATCAACATTTCCATTAGATTTATCATCTACTCCCCTCGAGATGGGAAAATATTTTTCTGTATCACGAAGCTCGTTTATCTCGCGGATAGGATAGGAGGATTGTTCGAAATTTTTCTTAAGGATTTGAATCGGATAGAAAAGAGAAGCAACGTGAGCGACGGTGTTTCCATTCTCTCCCAAGTCTCGAGTGTCGATGGATAAAATCTATTTAAAGGTGGCCACACCCTGTCTACCAAGTACCGTTTGACCGAACAAATGAACAAACGCACACGAATTATAAACGAACGAGAAAGTATAAAGTTGGAATCGTATGAAACCGTCGATTAAGACGGATCCTGAAATATACGTAAGATTCCAACTGTATTCGTTACTGGTTTGTTGAACTCTGGGCGTCTGAAAGCAAGGGCGTTGGAAAGAAACGTTCGAATGAGAATCTCTGTGGAGAGCCAAGGGAAGATTTCGGCTATTATCAGCTCTCTGACTCCCCACGGCGCTTTAACCGTGATCCCTCGTTCACGTCGACTCTACTTAGTCGTCAGGAGTCTACATAGTTCTCCACAAAAATTTCATTCCCTCTAAAAAGAATTTTAAACACAGACGTCTTGATCAATTATTATCAGACCAGACGATCTCGCATTCTTATATTATTTCTCGTAGTTTAAGGATGTATTGGCTATACAGTCAATCCCACAAGTTTATGCACTTTAGAAACGCATTTTTTAAAAGAAAATCAGACGTCGGAAGAACATTGCTAATAATAAACAACAACAAAAAATTTTCGATTTTTCCGAGATTTTTCCAAGGGGTACCCCTTCAATTTCTTCCAAATTTTCGTTTTTGGCCAATAACTCTCAAACCGTTGGACATACGGAAAAATTGTATACGACCTTTTTTGTAGAGGACGACGAGATC